TGGTTGCGGTGAAGTCGCCTCAAGAGCAGTTCTACTTCATAGGGAGGGAATGCTAAGCTCCTTGGTTAACGATCCATGTGTGGCTGTTGTTATTGGCGTCTGCCAGATACTATTAAACGCCGATTTGACAGACGAATTTTCTGTAACTATGTTATCTAAACAAGAAGTGGTTCCCGCTATAATGGAGGCTCTTGAGAAGTGCACTGACGTTCTCGGTAAAGATAAAACTCGTGCCCGAGTGTTGTCGGCCGCTTTGAAATATTTGGTATGCAACTCAGCTGACCTTGCTCTACAGTGCGATGTGACAATATTGGGTGATGTTCTGAACACAGTCGGTGGTGATACCATCTGCTCTGCAAATCTCGATGAGGTTCTCAAATACTGCTAGGGGCTTTGAATTTGTAGCAGTTCCCAAGTAGTTGTGGGGTGGTGAATTCGTGAAGGTTTATGCTCATCATCATCGCTGTTGTTTTCACTCATATTTCATTGTAAATCTGTCGGTAAGTGCCCTGCTATCGTCGAACTATGGTGAGGTTTGCTGAGGTGCGAAGCTATAGGAGTACCGCGTAATTCTGCAGCTAACGCGTTTTGGGGCGATAATAACTACTTGTTGAGTTAGTAACCACCAAGGACCTGAAAATACAGACGAGTGATTCGAATGACCTCTGTGGGTGTTGGTAATGTGTGGAACTGGGCTAAGAAATTCCTTCCCGTATTTGAAGTCGTTTGAAGTGTTCCCGACCAGGGCTTCAGGAATTCCCACAAGGTAGCTGAGTTATATCAGCTGTTTAGAACAGTCCTGGAGCGCTCCTTAGATGAGTCAGTAGTTGCTATAGTGGTTGACATTATCAACTTGTTGTTGTCAACTTGACAACCAACCGTTAGTTTAGCATATGGTTTGTATAGACTGAGAAAAGGTCATTCGCTGAATTAGAAACGGGGAAGGGTAAGTTGGAGGAACTACATGCGTTTCTTGAGAGTAGATAAGCTCACTAGACAGGATTGTCAAAGCTGTATAGATCAGAGTGGTAAAATTTACGCATGGTCAACCACATGTGTTGGTGACAATACGAAAATTCTGAGGAAATTTTGGAAAATCCTTGTTAGTTTCTGTACTGTTATCGTATATATTCTTCCAATTCGTATATAAAATCCTATGACTAGTTAGAAAAATATTGAGCTAAGCTGAGGAGGGCGAACCTTTTTTTGCAGCACTGGTATAGTCTCTGAAATGACCTTATTGGAAGTGGTTCGGATCTTGAGGATAGGAATATACTGTGTTGTGGTAGAGTGGAAATTTCTATACAAATGCAATATGCGTAATCTCAAGAACTACTTTTATATGTGGCAGTCCCAACTCCTTCACTACTGCTATTATCACCCTGAAGTTTTGTATGTAAACTTTCTGGTTAAATATGCTACAGGAGAGGGCTTATGATGCTACTGCACATCTGCAAAAGAAAAATTATGTCTTCGTACTAGCCGCAGCATTTGTAGGTCAATTTAGTATCTTGCCAAAATTTTTGATATTTTTTTTGGAAAAAAATGTCATTTCAGCTGTGAACTTATGTCATTCATGGGCATTTCTGATGAGATTGCGGCAGTGAGGGACCTGATGGTCACGGAGTTCAACAAGCTCAATAGGGAAGTCGCGGGACTTAACACTAAGGTGGCCGCCCTGCATAAACAGCTCCAACACATGGCACTGAGCTTCGACGATAACAACACCAATGACAAGACAGTTCTATATACCTCTAGTACACTGGATATTACTACGGCTGAAAAGGAAAATGAAAAAACCAAGGAAAAGTCGGAGAAATTCTCACCGGGAAGTTCAACTGGGACCCGTGGGGAAGACTGCGAGGAATACAACGAGCCGGCTGAAGACAGTAAAAGCAGCTCTTCGAGGAAGTCCCATCGCCGTAAGGATTCCTTCATGAGCACTGTATCCAATGATGCTGAAGAACTTGCAAGTACGCGGGGTACTCGAGATGGCTTATCTGATGTTGGCCTATAGAGACGCCTATGGATACCATACCGTCCTCTGTTCGCAAGGAGCAGCTCACCTCTGCTAGAAAACGTCGTCGGCAAATTGAGGTATTTATTAAATACAACTTAGTTCAGTTTGTTAAAGTGTCTTAGGTTGAGAGTCCCTATTTGATAGAGACTGATTTAACGGTGGAGTATGGCGGGAAGATACTGTGCGATCTTCATGGAGTTACTATGCTAGGCTTACGCTTCTGGTCATTGTTCCCTATCAGTTTTCCCTGTGGCCTAAAGGCCTCCTTTCAAGCCAACTGCGCCAGCAGCTCAAGAGAGTTCCATGCGTACGCGATATAATAAAGGATTCACTCGGCGAGCTCTCGGTCCAAGGCGTTTCTAGAAAAGGCCACTCGGTTGATCTTGACGATGTCCTTGAAGCCAATGCTGTTCGGGAGTATGAGCGGCTCGTCGTTAACTTGTGATGTTATCTCCTGTTGCATGAGTACATTGTAGAATTGCTGACTGTTGTAACCAAATTGGCAATATTAATTTATTAGCTTTCCAGTTCTCATGTTGTTGATAGTCATGCTATACGATGGTCGTATGTCTGTCTCTCTGACGCCACTTTGCTATCAATTATTCTCGAATGAGCCTAGCGTTTATATTATAGATGGACAAAATTAGTTACGGATCGTTACGGCTCAATTTTACGGTCACGCTTCAAGCCCCGTATCGTAAAATTACGGCGCCGTAACGGGTCTTACGGAGATGCAAAGGACAAAACGAGGATTGATAACTCAAGACGCCTAAATCCACTTCATGTGAATGCGCATGCGTAGACGAGGCCGGCTTGGCAGTTCCGGGCCAGCCTGGGAGTAAGACGGACGCAATTTGCAAAGGAGACGAGTGGTAAATGCGAAACCAAATGTTACTCTCTCAGCGGTTCGGTTGAATCCGAGCCACAAGAAACGAGTTTAACAACTATTTGAACTATCGTGGAGTGCATTACAGCGAATCTTTCCGCCACAATTCTAAAAAAGCAGTTCAGCACCAACCGTAAAGTCGTAAGGCCTTTCCGTAAGCGTAAACTGCTTACGTTACGCACGCCGTAACGTAAACCGTAAAAAACGTTACGCTGCCCATCCATAGTTTATATATTGAACAGATCAGATGAGAGAATCTCGGACTATAAATTATTGATATAGCAACAAGAGTCGACTGCGCAGAAAATATTTATCTCACGGACATTCGGAAGCTTTTGCTACTCATTTAAACGACTTGAAGTGTCTTCCGGTCTGATCTCATCTCTCCGTCTCAATCGACTCCGTAACCAGGCTGACGAGGAGTCTATCTTACAGAGAAAAGTAACGTGGTGGCACCCACCTTGCGCCGGTACCAAAGTCAATGGTGTAGGAACTACAGCACACCACCACTCGGGAGGCTCTTCTTTGCACCATCTTGAATGATAGCAACAATTCTTCCCACGGTAGATGCTCAGAGATACACCAATGAGGGAATCTCCACTACTCGCGATACGACCACTGTACCAATTCGAGACACAATATTATCACACAATCGTCCTCTGACGCGACACATGTCACCAACAAGTCCGAACTACGATTAGGAGGGTCAGTTCGATTCCCTAGTGGTAACAAAGAGGCTCAGCAGCAGAACAAGAAGATTCGGGGTGAACTCGCATGTGACCGCGAGTCCTCGACGATTAATCTCAATCTGAGTGGGTGCTACCAGAAGTGAACAACTAATGTCGCATGAAGTGCAAGTCTCAACTTCTCGGCGATCAGTATCATAAAACTTCCATGATGACCCAGCAGTGACCAGAATTCACGACGACAACGAGAGATGCAGCTCATCGAGTTGCACTTGGTTCGTTGTGGCCACTCTATAGCGGGTTGATTAGAACAGCCTTTTCGCCGTGTTTCGCGGATTTGACGATATACGTAACCGTTGGTCCAATAATCACAACAAGAACGCCTCTTTGTAAGGAAACGTTATGTTACATACAAAGACATACGCCTCTTTCGCAAGATCACGTTCCTTCGAAGTACTTGAGTCCGTTAACATCACCAACGAGTAAGTAGTTGGAAATGAGTGGTCCCGGTGCTGGGCACAACAGCTGCAACACAGCGTTACTAGTATTCTTATCTCCACCACCACCAAGCATCAGACCAGCATCACCGTAGGTTATTGATCGTACCCACACGAGGCCAGCCATGTTACCAATGAACACCTGAAAATTCGAGACAGTCGCCACAGAGTTCTCATTTCGTATCATCTTACATCCTCCAGCTTGGGCGCGACTATCACTGCCAACAAGGAGTCCTTCAGTTCTGCCGGATCGCCCTTCCACACTTCAACAGCAGGTGGAGTGGCCTGCGTGAGCTTACACAACGTAACAGTCCTCAAAGGGACGGTAACATTGTGAGGATTCAATTCACGCATTGCACCGAAAAAGTAATCCCGAACCTGTTATCCAAGCAATACTATGATAGAATCACCACTATGAACCCCCTACCCTATTAGTATTAAGCCATTGCATTCTAGCAGCATCAGTTGGTACCACACCGCCGGACTTGGGCAAGGACACAACCTCAACCTTGGGCTCCTTGTTGGCCTCCTGGTCCGGTGCCTCCAGCCCGTCCAAGTAGATCATATTAGCCACAGGGTCATTCGCTAACTTCGTCGAGCTAGACCGCAATCGGGCAGCATCACCTGAGGGGACTCCAGTAGACAGCACTCATAATACACCCGACCAACTACCAGCAGCATCGTCACCATAGTGTGAGGCTAGGTCCTGGTACAACTCATTATCATCTAGTACCAATACAATGTCAACCTCGAATGCCGAGATGATAGTCTTCAGCAATTCGGTCGAAGGCTCAGCCGGTGCGTTGATTATCAGACCAGAGCGGGCTATGTTCCTGATGGTCACCAAGCCGTTAGGAAACAGCCGAGCACAGCCGCGACTCTACTACTTAGGGCCGCCACTCATCTTCTCTATACCCGAACCAGTACTAGGCTGTACTGCAGCGTGCTTAAGACGAGCCTTCACGGTTTCCGCCAACACCTTGCACCACCAGGTATACACTTGCGGATTATCCGTCCAATGCTTATAGCCGTAGAAGTACCTATCATAGGGGTCCAGGGAACTTCACATTGGTGTGGTATGTGATACCATAAGCTCCTTCCCAGTCTGTTAGACAACTGGTCCATCGTCCCACCCGACTGAACCGCTTCGAATGAGTTCAAATCTTTCGGTGGTTGGCTGATTTTATATGTGGCCGTGGGCTCCGTATCGAACTCATAGCAACTACTATCCAATATGGTAGCATTCATGGTGCCCGGCAGATGAGGCAGTTCTCTGAAACTGCCAGTGCATCGAGGGTCCAACTCCACGAAAATCGGCCGTCGGTGTTTCCGTAGTGCGAAATTCGCCAGCATATACGCAAGAGTGGATTTCCCACTGGCCGAGGAACCACATACCAACACCTTAGGTGGTGGACACATAGCAGTGCCGAGCTCTGTTGCACGCTTCCGCCTCTGCTCGATGATAGAGGCTACGCTGAAGTAGTGTGGCATAGTAGCATTGGTCGCATCATATTCTTGAACTGTTGACCCTCGGAGCTCCACACAGCAACCGTGCCATGTGTACACTGCTAGTTGGGAACCAGCTGAGAGGACGAAACGAATAGGCATCGGGGTTTTGAGCAATGATTCGTGATAGTGACAATGAGAGAAAATATGTCCATTGCCAACTACATGTGTCGGGGACAATATGAGAACTTGGATAAAATTTTGGGAATTCTTATTGGCTTCTGAACGCTTCTACCCTAATACATATAAACTCCTCAAACTATTGATGGAACTCCTAAGAGCGAGCATATATTCCAACACTAGATGTTGAGATTTCAAGTATCACCCTTCTCCAAATATTACGTCTGATAACATACTCGTTGCCCAGGACCAACTCCTTGCCGAAGATCTCAGCACTCGCGAAAGTGTCCGGCACCTTGGAATGGGCCTTCAGTACCACAGCGCCCTCCTTAGTGGCACCTGGGTCGGTACTTGGCAACGGGGCCAATACCTACAGCAAGTGCACAAAGGGGTCCAAGGGTACGATATTACCAGTCGGAGCTCCGTCCCTGGTCGGAGCTCTTTGGTCCGCTGGAGGCCGATCATTTGTAGATTCTCTTGTTGGATCGACGAGCCAACATGTGTGGGCCCGCTGATGGTCCCACCCTCTCCACCATACCCACCAGTGGTCGCCGCTTGATGCTGTAGGTTGGCCTATGAGGGAGATGTGATTACCTCAAGGAACCCCCGAGGGCAGCATTACCTGGAGGACATGGGGCTGGGCCATTTTGTTGGGGCCGCCCATATGCTTATCGTAATGAGAGCCACCGCCCTTGTTCTGATAGTGGAAGACACTAGCATTAGGGTCGGGCTGCTGAGGGACTCTATCATACGGCCCCGAGTTGCCCTGAAGACCATGGTCCGGGGCCATGTGGGGCTTCGTGTCACGGCCCCCAGGGATGTGTTGTGGGGGATGACCCGAGGGTGGTGGTGGTGGGAAGCCCTTGCCGTACCCCTTGCCTAAGGGGAAAGCGACCTCATTATCACAGCAGGGGTGTATTGACTACCCTTCCCTGACCAACCCTTGCCCTTGCCGAAGAACCCCTTGCCCATGGCCATCATGGCTGCAAAGGCCGCTGGTGGGGGCGGCTGGGGGGCCTGTTGCAAGTTGCGGAATTGATTCAATGCTGCTGCTGTTGCCGAATCGGTCCCCCCTTGAGGAGGAGGAGGAGACCAAGGCGGCGGGGGCCCTCCTCCTTTACCGTTGTAATGTGGTGGGCCTCCGTCTCCTCCTGGAGGCTGGGACCACATTATAACAATAAACTGATGACGATAAAGGTTCAACCCGACGACACTGATAAAGGATCGAGCCCTTCAAGGAGTCCGCCTTATATAAGAATATCGTCCTCCTCATGTGCCACACTACCGGGACTGGGCGAACTTGAATCTTTCATATCTTGAGGACTCTTGCAGTTCCTCAACGCTCGATGATATCTATGGGGTGAGGTTTAGTAGACTGCCTCTCCCTCCTGAGTGCGCTCCCAAGATCGAGTTTTACATGTGATGGCTAATCCTGGGTGGGCTCTTGAAGGTCTATTGAACACGCCGCTAGGTCGGGGCGGAGAACAGATTGCGTCACTTTTTATATCGGGACCTGTCACTATTCTTCCGTCCCTTTTCTTCGCATTCTTGAGGATACGGCTGTCCGATGGGTATGTGCTAAGTGGAGTTCCTGGTGGTAGTATATATGCATAGCCTACTCTCGAGTGAAGGGCACAGGAGCAGTCGATGGCCGAGGACCCGTAAGCGTGCGAGCCCAAGCCGGTTGGGTACCCGAGATGTGTAAACTTATCCCCGAGGAGATCATCGATAGCATCGGCAGCTGTTGGAGTGGTGTTGTGGTTACCGAAACAGTTCACAGCGCTGGTGGGGACATGGATAACTAAGCAACAGATGTGCTGTTACTGGGGATCGAACCGGAGACCTCTCGGTGTGACGTGGTTACCTCAGGTTACTCTAGGGTACTGAGTGTGGTCAGCTCGGGAGGATGGAGTATGTCATGTGTACAATCTATTATATGAATAATTTTCCAACATTAATTGAATTTTTTGAGTTCTAGTTGTTTATTCGTGTTGAAGAGAATCTTTTGCACGCATGCCCAAGGTCATATCTTTTCAGCATAGTTTATTCTTTCCACGTATTAATGCCGTACTCTGTACTGGTAGCAGGTACGCCAGGTGTAGGCAAAACTACCTTTTCTAAAGAGCTAGCTGCAGCTATGGGCTCGTGTCGGGTTATCGAACTTGGCAAAACAAGTACTTCATTCGTATCTTTGTAGGAAGAACCTAAGATTCTCTTTTGTTAGTTGCGGCTGAGCACCTTTACAGTGAGTGGGATGATGACCATAACTGCAGCATATTCGACGAAGATGCTGTTGAGGAGCATCTTGAGAGCCTTGGAGTCTTCGGCAAGGAGAATGTCGTGGTCGACTTCCACTCCCCGGATTTCCTCCCATCGGAATGGTAATAGCATGTAGTTGTAGTAGTTTTGGATTTATCGAGGAAATTCACTTCGTATTTGGGAATTATGTTTGAAGTTTAACTGTAACCTCCAAGTAAACGGCAAAGTAGCTGATAGTGTGTTGATAGTTGATGCCATGAAGTTGATGATATCCTTCAACACTTCAATGCGTTTAAATTCTGAACAAATGTGGTAATTTTTGGGGAGTGAAATATATGGAAATAATCAGTCGGACATACGATGGTCTTTTTTTGACGGGGAACTGTGGGGGAATATACTTGTGGTGATTTCAAGCAATATCTACCGAAATTATTTTTT